GGTAGTGGAAAGAACACTGAATTTGGAGTCAAAGATTTGGTTTTAAATCCCATCTCTGCTGCTTACTACCAATGTGACCAGGGACAAGTCACTTAACCCTTCATGGACTCAGTTTCCTTCTTCATAAAATGAGAGGGTTACACTGATGATCTCTACGATTCTTTGCTACTTTAAATCCTATGATTCCTATGACAGTCCCCACATTTTGGGAGCTCAGAAACTGGAGGGAGGGGCAGAAGGCTAAACTAACACCTGTGAAACAATTAATGGGGAAGTCAACTCATGGCTCCCAGATTGTAAATGCCTCAGGAGCTCAGAGGAAAGAAAGCAGGTTGCTACAGCTTAGGGTGTTCAGGGAAGGCTTTCTGAAGGTGGTTCTGGAGCTAGATCTTGAAGGATGAATAGGGAAGGAGGAAGAAAAAAGGGAAGGAGGAAGAAAAAGGGCTTGGATCAGGGGATGGGGAGAAAGTAGGATATGCTTTCTGGGTTAGTTCTCCTCCCCAACTCTAGATGCCTTCCCCCTTCTACAACTTGAACTCCCCGCCAGTGTCTCTGAGAGCCTGGGGTGCTTTGGTTAGCGATACTCTGCACCCCTGAGCAGTCATCTCAGATTTCAGGGCTTGACCTGGGTGGTCCAGGCTATTGGGAGGGGGAAGTGTCTGTTCCTAGCCCTTCAGAGAGCAAAGAGAGGTCCCTAGGACTCATTTGACAGGCAGCCTGGGTTATCTCCAATTGGCCTGTGGGGAGGCCCCTGATTGGCTACTTGCTGAGGAGACACTCTGTTGCCGTGGCGATGCCCGGGCTGACTCCAGCTCTGGTGTGTTGCATGTGCCTGTGAGCTGGGGAGTAAGTCTTCCTAATCCTTCCAAGAGGGGAAAGGCAGAGGGGCCCTGAGGCTCCCTTGGGAACCTAGGCTGACCCTGGAAGGTGGGGAAGGGGAGTGGGATGGGATTGCTTAGCAGTGAATATCTCTCTGTCATCCTGATGCTTAAAGGAAGGCAAGCTATTCTCCCTCCCAAACAGACACTAGCAGATTCCACCCCTCTCCCCGACTTAGCCGGGGGGGAGTGGGAGGTGAGGACAAGCATGATTATGTGTGCCAAAAGAAGCAGGCATGTTGATGGGGTGTGGACCCAGGCCAATGCAGACTAGATCCTACCTTCTACCCCCAGCCCCCCAGCACTATCCACAGGACAAGAGTCCTAGTCTTGCCATTAACTGGTATTTATTGATGCCTGCTTGGTTGTGTGTAGAGTGCAATGGTAGGCACCAATGATGGCACCCATTTTTCTAGCACTCTTAAGATTTACAAAGCGCTGTCTTCCTCACAGCCCCGTGGAGATGACAGTATGTATAAATGTGAGTTGTTATCATTGTCAGCTCACGTTTATACCCACTGCCTGACTCACAGCATTGTGAGTCCCTTCCCTTCCTTGTAAACTTTTAACTTCTGTAGAGCCGGGAGGTGTTTTTCTATAATAGTTTGAGATTCACCAAGAAGATGATATAGACTGTCGCCTCATGGAATGTATCCAGGAGTATTGGGCTTGGAGGCTTTGGACCTGAATTCAACTGCCGGCAGTTAGGTGCTGGTGGATAAGGCGCCGAACCTCCCTAGCTGTTTCCTTATCTTTAAAAATTGATGATTGGGACCCCTAGTCCACTTACCTCGATGTGTTATGTAGGATAAGGAGGTTTAGAACTGGAAGGGATAGGGCCCTAGAGATCAACCTATCTAACCCTTTAATTTTACAGGTAAGGAAACTGAGGACCAGAGGGAAAGTGATTTGTGCAGGGGTACATGGCCAAGTTAGAAGCAGAATAAATTTGAACCCAAGTCTTCTGATTCCAAATCTACTGCTTTTCCCACAAAACCTCTAGGTTGTTGTGAGAAAAGTATTTTGTAAATGATAAAAGTACAGTATATGTGGGCTAATAATAATACCACCAACCCTGGGTCCCTCTCCCCCATTCACACATGACTCACTCTCTTTCTCTCTCCTTTCTCCTCTCTCCCTCCCTCCCTCCCTCCCTCCCCTCCAGGGACACAAGGCATCCAGAAAGGATGCCCATTGCCACTGCTAGCTGGAGTGGGGGAGGGGGGTAGAGAAGGGGGGCACTTAAAGCCAGTGGTGGGCATCCGGCTGGCCACATTCGGCTGCTTAATCCGATCAGCACGGGGGGGATGGGAATGTGAAGGGAAGAGGAAGAAGGGAGGTTTTATAAGGTTGGGAGCAGGCAGGAAGGGTGGGGGGGAGTATGGGGGGGAAGCTTAAGGACCCAGAATGGGTACAGCTTACACAAGGGGGGGAAGAAGGGGGGGGAATATGGATTTATGTTGAGCCCAGGGTATCCCCATTGTGATTGCCAGAGCCCTGCTCAGCTACAAGGCTTCCCTGCAAAGTTCTCTGTAGTGGCCTCATTAAAGTTTACCCGTCACCCCAAGGGAAAGGAAAGATCCAGCTGATAGTGGTAGCCAGAGCCCTTTCCTCCTCCTCTCCCTCCTCCTCTTTCTTCCCTCCTCCCTTCCTTCCTTCCCTCTTCCCCCACTCCCTCCACCCAGACACACATACACCTTTGGACTCCCTGCACATGCGCCACAGTTCCATATGTCACTGTGACACGAGGCTGCTCCCGGCTGCCTGACCCCCCCATTGTCCTGCCAAGGGAGTGAGGATGCAGGGAACAGGAAGCGGAGAGGGGGGGGAACCGCCATCTGCCTGTGGCTCAGAGCAGCAGCGGCAGCGGCAGCGGCAGCGTCTTTGTTTGGATCCCGGCTGGGGCCGTGGATATTTCTTAAGGAATCGCTCCCAAAGTCCTCGCTCTCTGGTCCTTGCAAAGCTCTGCTGGGTGAAATAAAGGATTTGCTGTGTGTTGGGGGTGGGGGGAGTGAGTGAGGAGGGAGGATGGAGCAGGAGGAGGGAATCCACAGGGGGAGGAAGATATTAGGGGGAGGAGGGAGGAACAGACGACTCCCATCTTGACCAGGATATCCCGTCTTTTTTTTTTTTCTCTCTCTCTCTCTCCTTCTCTGCCTCTAGGGTGTGTCCACACAGATACAGGCAGCTCCCTCTCCTCCCCCCATCCCTGTCAGAGATTGTACCCGTAAGCTGACACTGTGGGGAGGTGTGTAAGGGAGAAGGTAGAGAGGCTGACTCCCTGAGCCAGAGTGGGGAGGGAGGGGTTTGTGCTGAGTGTCAGTGTATGTGTGTGTGTATATGTGTGTGTGTGCATGCGTGCCAGAGAGAAGAGAGAGAGAGAGAGAGAGAGAGAGAGAGAGAGAGAGAGAGAGAGAGAGAGAGAGAGAAGCTGTTCATGACCCAGAATGTGGGTGGCTGTGTTTGCAGGATAGCTAGTAGAAAGAGTGTGTGCATGAGCCAGAGGGTGTGTGTGAGTGAGAGAGAGAAAGAGAAAGACAGACAGACAGACAAGGCAGGGGCCCGTGCCCAAGGGGAGGGAGACAGCTAGGAAGAGGGGGGTGGGAGGCTACTCTCTCCCTCCCCAGGGTGACAAGACAATGGGGACCCCTCCTTAAGGTAGAGGGGGTAGGGGTGGCAAGAAAGGAACAAGCTGAGTTGGAGGGTACATGGGGGGATGCAATGGCAGGTGGGTGTGGGAAGAAAAGGACTGTGCAGAGTAAAGGGGGCTAGTGTGGGAGGGGAAGGAGTGGTTTGGCACTCCTGAGATGGAGGAAGATTATAAGCACGGGAGTGAAGGGACCGTCTCTACCTGCGGAGTTGGGGGCTGTGAGCCAGATAAAGCAGCCGTGCTGGAGAGGGGACATGAGAGGCAAGACTGAGAGGGTTCAGGACAATAATTTGGAGCTAGGTGTGAGAAACTGAGTTAAGCCGAGGGAGAGAGCTGGAGAAAGGCTAAGGTCTGTGGCTGCCTGCCCACCCAGAGGGCTTCATGGAGAGGTTATTAGGAAGATGCGTTCAAGAAGGCACTGGGGTGAGTGAATCTTTGTCAAAGGAGATAACATTTCAATTCTGAGACTCTAATGGGGCCTCCCATTATTTCCCTAATAGGTGCCATGGTGACAGGCGCTGTAAGAAATACTTAGACGGGAGTGTTGGATCTAAGGCTCAGGAGAGCCCTGGCCATCCCTGGGGCCCCTCCCAGCTCTGTCTTCAGAGCAGAAGGTCCATTAACTCAGGGGCTGGGAGTTTGGTTCGCTGGGTTTAGGGGAGAGGAAGCCACGAGAGAGAAGAACCTTCTCTCACTGAGTGGAAATGCTGCCCCTGGCTCCAGCCTTTTTGGTGCCATTAGGAGTCTTGATGAAAGGAGTGTGTGGGGTCTTAAAGGAAAGAAAACCAAGGAGGGGAGAATTCTCTTTCTCTCCCTCTCTGTCTCTCTGTCTCTCTCTCTGTCTCTCTCTCTGTCTCTCTCTGTCTCTCTCTGTCTCTCTGTCTCTCTCTCTGTCTCTCTCTCTCTCTCTCTGTCTCTCTCTCTCTCTCTCTCTCTCTCCCTCCCTCCCTCCCTCTCTCTCCCCCACTCTTTCCCTCTCCCTGTCTCTTTTATCCTTTCACCCTCTTCTCCCTCCCCCCTTCTCTTTTTTCTACTCTCCATATGTCTGTCTGTCTCTCTCACTCTCTCTCTTACCTATCCTATTGATGTGAATTCCTCAGCTGCAAAGATCAGGAGTTGTCTACCCTCCTTGGTCCTGTCCCACCACTGTCTTTGCCAACTAGGGATGTGGGTTTTGTTCCTCTTGATTAAGGGTAAACCTCTTCACCCTCTTCTTTTGAACTGGGGACGCTGGGGTGGGGCCAGTCAGCAGACAGGCTTTGCCACAGGCTTGCTTCATGGCCTTGGATGAGCTGTTTCCCCTCTGAGCCTCAGTTTTCTCCTCTGGGAAATGAGGGGATTGGATGATCATTAAGCTTCCTTTCCAGATCCTATGACATGCCTGAGTCTTGGGGAAAGTGACTAGGACCAATGGGCAGCTCCAGGGCGAGGCTTGGACCAGGGGCACTAAATCTCGGCCTCTCTCGTTTCAGATGACTCCTCGTCGGAGAGTTGCAGTGGGAACGGCTCCTCGACGTTGAACCCCTCCACCTCCAGCAGTACCCAGGGGGACACCTCATTCCCCGAGATGAATGGTAATGGCGCCGTGGCCCCCATGGACTTCACAGCCTCGACGGAGGACCAGCCTATCAACCTCTGTGACAAGCTCCCCGCCTCTCATCTCCCCACCTCTTACCCAGCAGACAGCTGCAGCGCCGATGGGCTTCGGAGCAGGGTGAAGTATGCTGTGAAGACAACCCCAGAGGTAAGTCTGAATAAACAGGGACTGACCGACCATGGGCCCAAATGGAGGCTTTGGCCCACAAAGTCATAGGCCTCCTTTCTTCCCCTCCATATAATATGGATTCCAGGAGATTGAGGGTCTTCTTGCAATAGAAACTATCATTCCTGTAGATTTAGGGTGCTGGGCTCAGGGCCTGCAGAAGGAAGATAGCAATAAAAACAGTGTCTTTTTACACTTCTATAGTTCTTTAAGGTTTTCAAAGGAGGAAACTGAGGCGCAGGGAAGCAAACTATCTTGCCCACTCCACGTCCAGGTCTCGTTATTTGACACTAGGCTGCTGGTACATCCTTGGGGGAAAAAAGTACTTTCCCACCTTGGCTTTTATTTTGGATCATAATCGCCCCATGAAGGTGGTAGGAGCAGACATTCTTACCCCTATTTTTGAGCTGAAATGCAGAAAGGAAGCCTGACTCGCCCAAAGTCACACAATCCACGGTGACACCTCAGACCTCAGTCCCAGCCATTGGCCAGTGTCCATGGTCATGGCCGCTCCCTTCTCCACTGGACAGAGGCCAACAAAGAAGGTTCCTCTGTCCCATAGTCATCTGCATCCTCCAACTCCCAAACTATATGTTACCTTTGGATCATGGGATCATAGATTTAGAGCTCGAAGGGGGCCTTAGAGACCATTTAGTCTCACCCCTTCATTTTTACAGTTGAGGAAATCGATGTCCAGCAGGGTTAAGTAACCAGAGCATGAATAGAAAAGCTGGGATTCCACCCTAGGAAGTTGGACTACAAATTGGGGTACTGCCGCACAAGGTTCTGGTAAAGTGGATAGAATCCTTGGCTTAGACTCAGGAAGACCTGAGTTCAAATCTAGCCTCAGACACTTACTAGCTAGGTGATCCTGGGCAAGTCATTTAACCTCTGTCTGCCTCAATTACCTCATCTATAAAATGGAGATAATAATGACACCAGCCTTACAGAGTTATAAGCATCAAATGAGATCACATATGTTAAGTGCTTTACAAACTTGAGCATGCTGTATAAATGCTATCTAGTAGTAGTAGTAGTAGTAGTAGTAGTAGTAGTTGTTGTTGTTGTTTGTAAGCCTGAGACATTAATGATGATGACCATATCTTCAAATAGTGTGTATGAATTTAGGCCCAGTGTGGGGGGTGGGGCTGATGGCATGGCTGAGCCAGTGGTGATATCCTAATTATCAGGTCTGAACTCAGGTGCCCCATGAGCTCATGGCAGCATGAAGGGAATAAGATTCCCTTAGAGTCCAGGAAAGTTCCCATTGGCAGCTCCTAGGAACCATCCCTGTGTTGGGGGATTGGAGGTGGAGGAGAGACCTGATGTCTGCTTAGCAGGAAGCCTGAAGCAGTCAGGAAAGAGGGCCCCAGCTCCCCATTCTCTCAGTCCAGATTTTGTGAGCTTGGGACAAGAGAGGCAGTTTGTCTGCCCTTGACAGTGGCCTCTTCAGAAAACAAACTGTCATTAGATTCCAGGAGTTGGTGAATAACAGAGAGGAAGGAGCCATGAACGCATGGATTCAAGGCCCTGCTTGGTCGAGAGCTTCCTTCCTACTCTAAATCCTATGCACCATTAACTTGACTTATTGCCTGCCTAAAAGAATCCTGGGAATCGGCATTGGCAAGGGATTGGAGGGTAAGCCCCATGTTGTTGGACAGCTGGCTTCAGTGGCCTGATTGCCCGGAGTCTGAACCAGTCACCAGACTTGAGGGGAGGGGGGACAGTGTCAAAACACAGATCAACGTGTGGAGTAAATCAGAGGCAGCAGAAAGGCCGTGAGCACAGGGACTGGAGACGAGGATTTGGGATGGGGGTTGTTAGGTTAGGAAGCTGGGACCTGGACACTGTGGAGGCTGGGGAGGCTTTCTGGAAGGATTTGGGATCTGGGATCAGGAGACCTAGGTTCAGGCCCCCCTATGGCATTACATTGCTGTGTGACCTTGAGTGAGTCATTTTACTTCTCTCCATCTATACAATGTGGGGCAGTTGGCGAAACATAGGACTAGATGATCTTTTAAGGTCCCTTCCAGCCCTGAAACTATGTGATTCTATGACTGTGAGTAGTTTACTGGTAGTTTACTTACCCTGCTGCATGCAGTCTCAGTTTCCTCACCTATAAAATGGAGATGATGTGGAACATTGGTAAAAGCTCCAGACTCAAGAGGGCCTGGGTTCAGCTCCTGTGCCCAATCCTCACTCTTTGTGTGGCCTTCACTTCTCCTCCACTTCCTCATCAGTAAAATGAGGGGCTTAGACAAAATGGTCTCCAAGGTCCCTTCTGGTTCAAGGTCTGTGAAACTATGATCGCCTATGCTATAGGGCCATTTTTGGAGGCTTTAAAGGGTGAGGGGAAGCGTGCCTTAAAGACTGTGAAGTAATGAGTGTCAGTTGAACTTGGCACGAATGAGCGAGTGTGTGTTATCAGAAAAGGAGCGGGCAGCAGCCAATCCATTTTGCCTCAGCCGTAGTTGTGTGGTCTGAGGGGCAAACGCTAGCCGGAGCCAAACTCCGTGTTCTTGAGGTTGTGGCACCAGCTTTCTCTGATTAGTGCCTCCACCTCACAATGTGATGGCCCGGGCTGCCCTTTAGAGCGCCCAGCAACGAATGGGACGATGGACGTAGAGAGATCCAGGCAGGTGAAGACATCCGTTTGATCATAAACCTCTAGCTGGAAGGGATCTTAGAAAGCATTTAGTCCTAATCTCTCATTCTACAGATTAGGAAACTGAGGCCCAGAGACATGAAGTGATTCACTGGAGGTCACATAGTCAGACAAAGCTGGGATTTAAAGTCAGGTCCTTTAGCTTCCAAATTTAAAGCTCTGACCATGGTCCCACAGTCTTGGTTTTTAGAAGGACAGCATAGGTTGGACCTTTCTCTTTGTACACTGGGTAATAGTAGTTCATATTCTGTAGTCTTTACATTTTAAAGAACTCTTTCTTCACAATACCTATAACTATTATTACCCCCATTTTGCAGACGCAGAAACTGAAGTTCAGAAAAGGAAAGTGGTCCCACTACTTAGCAGAAGTCATGTTGGAGACCAAGATTCAAACCCATGACTTTCTAAATCCAGGGTTCTTTCCCCTGTACTCTTATGCCTCTCTCTGTGTGGTCTTTGATTCCTAGTAGGTTATGTTGGGGGTCTTGAACAGGAGCCAGGTGAGTGAGGAGAGAAAGGCACCAAAGTTGTATACACAGACAGTCCTGAATCAAGATCTCAGGAGTATAGGTGGGGAGCAATATGCTTAGAGTGACCGCCATGTGGGTGGGCACACCAGGAGAGATAATCGCCCAGCAGTTTTCATTCATTTTTCCCCCTTGTCAGCCATTAGTTCACTTGTCCCTTTACCAGTTTGTTCATTCATTCAACTTAACTCAAGCTCCTACAATGTGCCCAGCCTTGTGTAACATAACAGAAATGCCAGCTAGAACTGTACATGCCTCAGAGGCTGCACCTGACCCTAGCCAGGGAGACAAGATGTGCAGGCCAAGCAAAAGTGGTACCTCAATCCAAGGAGGAAGTGACAATGAAAAGGAAAGCACCACAGCCCAAGGGTCTGTCCCAGGGCAGTCTGTGCTCAGGATTCTGGGAGGGGAAGAGGCAGGAAGTATTGTGAGGCAAGAAGAGGAAAGGAGAGAGATCCTTGGGAGGGCAGGGAAGGCTTCTTGGAGGAAGGGGCCTTGAAGGAGAACCAGGATTGGGTCAGTACCTTTAGGAGAGGAGGAGCTCTTTTTCTTGTTGTAGTCTTAGGAGACAACTTTCTTTGAGGAGGTCCATCATACTTTTTTATTTGTGTGTATGTTTTTTTTTTTATTTGATGCCAAAGAGATTTTATTTCAGATTCATCTGTATTTATTTACATATTCTTGTTATTCTGTTTCTTTCATACATATTACTGATACAGGTCCAGGTAATAGTAGTTCCATCTTCAGGGACAAGTATTACTAAGAAAAGTGCTGCTCATAGAGTAATAACAATAACTCATGTTTATACAGCTCTTTAAAGTCTGCAAAGTACTTTGCCTATTTGATCCTCACAACATCTCTGTAAGTCTGATAATATTATTGTCCCCATTGTATAAATGAGGAAACTGAGGCTGAGAAAAGTTTAGTGACTTGCCTCAGGGACACATAGCTGGTAAGTGTTTCAGGTAGGATTGGAACCTAGGTCTTTCTGACTCCAAGTCCAACACTATACTCACTGTGGCCAAAGGGCTACCCTGCTGTCTGTGAAGTGCTAGAAGAACCAGCGAAATGCCACTCAGCACATCAGGTAGACAGATCCTCAGGGGAGGGAGGACCCATGGAAAGAATTGTACTGGGTCTGAAGGTGCAGGTGGGCTTCACAATGCCCCCATGGAGTTTGGCTCATGGATCCATCGATTATACGGGGTGTCCCAAAAATCTGACTGCGGCTTTAAGCTAACCCTAATTCTGAGCTTTAGCTTAAAGCTGCACTAAGACTTTTAGGACAACCCCGCCCCCACACCTTAGCTTAAAACTGCACTCAGACTTTTGGGACACCCTGGCCTTTTTTTTTTTTTTTTTTTTTAAGCTTAAAACTGTACTAAAACTTTAGGGACCTCCTGTATAACTTAATATACCTAGAACAGTACCTCCATCACTCATGCACCTCGAAGTCCCCTTCCCCATCTTAGTAGAGAGTCGCACACTGCCATGGCCGGAGCAGATTCATCTCCTGGCAGCCAAATCCCTGGTGATGCGCCTCTCTGTGGTTAACTCGTTTAATCCTCAAATGACAGACACATACGGTCCAATGCTTCCATCCACCACTGGCCTTTCTCAGATGGTGAGAGATGGCCCACTAGTGGGCCATTGCCCCATTGTACAGATACCAACCCCCTGGTTTATATCAATTAAGAGCCATGCACTCCTGGGGAGCTGCCATTATGAAGCCTGGGTGAGGCAGAGAAGAGGTGAGAGCCAGAAAGCCTTCCTCAGGAAGGGAGGGCCAGTGCAGCTCAGAGGGGACACCTTGCAAAATATCAGAAAGTAACATGCATTGTGGCCTGTGTGCAGAAGAATAAGCAGAGCAGTCTGGTTCAGTTTCTACTTTCCACCAGACTGTGGAAGACCTTAAGTCCTACTGGTGGGTGTCAAGTCACAGTGTATTTGGCCTCCCTCCCACATACCTCCTTAGTAGACTAAATCCTGCCTTCTGCCATTGCTGGTAGAGGTAAATCACAGTGTTTCAGGTAGGATTTGAGCCCAGGTCTTCCTGACTCCAGGTCCAGCACTTTATGTACTGTGCCCAAAGGGCTATACTGCTGTCCATGAAGTGCTAAAAGAGCCAGAGAAAGGCCATAGAGGTTTTTTAAAAAAAAAGCAAATGCTGGGAGTTACCCTAAGTGTGGTCCCTACCTCTCCTGCATTAGGACAGATCCATGATATTAGGCATGAAGTATAAATTTGTGGATCATCCCTCCCTGGGCCCTGTCCAGCAGATAAAGATTCCCTGAAGGGAGCAGCCTGTACTAGAAGAAGAAGGCCATGGAGCCCACAGGGGAACACTAGCATTACTACCACTTTCACTCCCTTCCCCCTTGCCTCCCTATTTTTAAAAATAAATTTTATTCCTTCATTTTTTTTCTCCCTCTCACCTCCTCCCCCTCAACTGGGAAAACAAAAAACAAAACCAAGCAAATCCCTTGTAACAAATGAACACAGTAAAGTAAAACAAATCCCCACATTACCATGTCCAAAAATACATGTCTCATTCTGCATGTTGAGTCTATTCCCTCTCTATCAGGAGGTGGGCAGAGGCCTTCAGCATCAGTCCTCTAGAATCATAGTTGATCATTGCAGTGATCAGAGTAATTAAGTCTTTGAAAGTTGTTTGCATTTACAGTGTTGTTTGTTTAGTATAAATTATGCCCCACATTGGGTGCATCTCTTTGGGCAGCAGTGGATAGAGCACTAGGCCCGGAGTCAGGAAGACTCATCTTCCTGAGTACAAATCTGGCCCCAGACACTTACCAGCTGTGTGTCCCTGGGCAAGTCACTTAACCCTATTTGTCTCAGTTTACTCATCTATAAAATGAACTGGAGAAGAAAATGGCAAACCACTCCAGTATCTTTGCCAAGAAAACCCCAAATGGGATCATGAAGAGTTGTACATGATTTAAAAACAACTCAGCAACAGTTTTCCTGGTTCTGCTAACTTAACTCTGCATCAGTTCACACAAATCTTTTCAGGTTTCTCTTAAACTTTCTCTTTATTTCTTACAGCACAATAATATTCCATTACGTTCATAGACGACAATTTGTTCAGCCACTCCCCAATTGATAGACACACCTTTACCTTCCATTTCTTTGCCACTACAAAAAGAACTATTACAAATATTTTCATGCATTTATAAGGACCTTTTTCTTCTCTTTCTGATCTCTTTGAGCTGTAGGCCTAGGAATTGTATCGTTGGGTTAAAGGGTATGCACAGTTCAATAGCTTTTTGGGAAGAGTTCCAAACTACAGTACCAATTTATAGCTTCGCCAACAGTACATCAATGCTTCACTCTTATTTTTAAGTACAGAATCTTGTTGTTTTTTACGAATTATCGTCGCTGAGCCATTTGGTTCTCCTTTCTGATTGAGAGTGGATTCTATTATTTGGCATCAACTCCATTGTCAATTTGGGATTATGCTTTACTTTGGGATCAGGGCAGCCCACTGGCAGAGGGAGAAGTCATTGGCTAAATACAGACCTTAAAGGGAAAAAAAGGGGAAATGGACAGTGGGAGGCTGGCCAGTGGCAGGAATCTTTTCTTTGGCAATCCTCTGAAGTATCTGTGCTTCTCCTGAAACCATGTTCTGCTCTCCTTTTTACACTGTCCTGCATGTAAAGACACTGCATAAATACTTGTTGATTTAAGAACAGGTCGAGAAAGAATACAAACTCTTCAGGAAATAGGGTAGTTTAAATCACCCCCTATTGTACACATGGTAAAATTGAGACCCTGAGAGAGACCCGGCCCCAGCAAGTTGTTGGCTGAGCCAGAATTCAAATTTGGGCTCCCCAGGACTCTGGCCAACCATAGGAGTCCCACAGAAGCAAGAATATGAGGCGGAGGCTTTGAGTAAGGATGTATCCCAAAATCGGGTCTCAGTTTCCTCATCTCTCAAATAGGGATAATCCTACACACCCCATGTCAAAGTGTCAAACTTGAGGAAAAAATTAAAGAAAAAAGACTCCAGGATGACATGATCGTGGCCTTGAAGTATTTGAAAGAAGTCACCTTTCATGGGGAAAATGGCGAGACTAGGAGCCAATGGAAGGCTGGGAAGGGGGATGACTGAGGGAGATTTTAGCTTCACGTTAGGGAAAGTTTACTAACCAAACTGAAATGACCTGATGCTGGTAGGGAGTCCCTCATCACAGAAGCAGAGGCCAGATGACTCCTCATCAGGGGTGTTGTAGGAAGGGCTCCTGATTAGATACAGGTGAATGGAGTGATTTCTGCAGTCCCTTCCAGCTGTGAGTTTTTGTAGTTCTGGATTGTGGGGGGGTCAGAGACAAGGGCTTTGGAAACCTGCAGGCTATAATGACCGCCTCCCTACCCCTTTCTCTTCTCCAGTCCCCTCCATATAGCTCTGGGAGTTATGACTCCATCAAAACAGAGGTCAGCGGCTGCCCTGAGGACCTGACTGTGGGCCGGGCTCCCACAGCTGACGACGATGATGATGACCATGATGACCATGAGGACAATGACAAGATGAATGACTCGGAGGGGATGGACCCTGAGCGTCTCAAGGCCTTCAATGTAAGTTCAGGCCTTAAGGTCCTTGCTCCTATGTCCCTTCCACCCCAACCTGGATCCTGGGTCTCACCCTGCTCATGCTAGCCCCGGTCTCCCATTCTCTCTCACCTCTTCTCCTAGTTTGTCTTCTCTTGTGTCCACTCTCCCTGCCAACCCACCATGTCTTAAGCTCTCCCGTTTCCTCTCCCCTCCTTCCAGATGTTTGTGCGCCTTTTTGTTGATGAGAATTTGGACCGCATGGTGCCCATCTCCAAGCAACCCAAGGAGAAGATACAGGCCATCATAGAGTCCTGCAGCCGCCAGTTCCCCGAGTTTCAGGAGCGAGCCCGCAAACGCATCCGCACTTACCTCAAATCCTGCCGTCGTATGAAGAAAAATGGCATGGAAATGGTAAGACCCCCTTACCTTCATCTCCCTCCCTGCCTTCCCTTTTTTGTTGTTTATTTCTAATCCTATATTACTCACTCCCCACCTTCCTCTTTCCTCTTCTGCTCTTTCCTTTGAGAGGGGCACTGTGCTTTAGTCCTCCCATTTCTTATAGCACTTTAGGGTTCCCAAAGTACTTTCTGGGTAATCACCCTGTGAACTAGGGGTTCTTACCCTGTTTTTTGTCCTAGACCCCATTCACAGTCTGGTGAAACCCAGAGACGACTCCTCAAATTATGTTTTTAAATGCATAAAATCAAATATGTACGATTACAAAGGGAACCAATTATGTCCAAAGAGTCATCAATATATCTAAATCACTGTGGGAGGGGCAGTATTATCTTCATTTAGAGACGAGGAAACTCATAGATATACCTTGGTGTAGTTTGGTACAGTGGAAACAGTGCTAGCTTGGGAGTCAGGGAGCCTGGCTTCAAATACCACCTCTTAGGACTATTATCTCTGTGACTGACTGTCACCTGCCTTGGCCCCACTTTGCTTCTCTATAAAATGATGGGTTTAGAAGGGCCCTTTCTAAGCTCTAGATTCATAATCCAGTGAAGCACATTGCCTTGCCTGAGCATAACATGATCAATAACTGGCCAATATTGAAACAGAATTTTCCTAATTTCAAGGTTAGCACCCCAGCAATACAGTCTTTCTTCATAGATAGCAGTGGGCTTACAGCAAGGAGATTTGGGTTCCAGGCTTGCTCTACCATTGGCTAGCTATGGGATCTGGACACATTGCCTTCTCTCTGAGCCTCGGTTTACTCCTTACATCTATTTTACAGGTCTGTTGTGACTGAAGTGCTTTGTAAATTATAAAAATGTGTTAGTCTTATTAGTGTTTTTCTTTCCCCTTTCTTGTCCCTCTCATACCTTCCCCAAAATATAAATTGCTGCATTTCCCACTTTCACTCCCTTTTCCTTCTCCACACCTCCAAAAGTCTTCCCTAAGCTGGACCCTTATTCCCCATCAAAGATGGGGAAGTAATGCTCCTTACTGACACTTTCTCTTTCAGGCCCTCCTCTTCTCTTCTCCCAACACCCCCTCCTTGCCCTCAGACATAGCCAAGAGATTTCATCCCAGAGCTCCAGATTTTGTGTCAGGACATCTGAGTCCAAAGCCCAACTATAACTACAGGTCTGACTATACAGATTTAAGTTATTTAGTTTCTTTGAGCCTCAGTTTCTTCATCTGTGTAAAAAAAAAACAAGTTTAGGGTTTAAACTAGATGATTTCCAAGGTCCCTGGCAGCATAAACATCCTTTGATCTATTTTCTAAGACCACTTTTATTGCTGACATCCCATGAGACTGGTAGCATCCTAAACTGCCCTCTCTTCCCTAGACCAGACCCACTCCTCCCCACCTGACCTCAGCCATGGCTGAAAATATCCTGGCAGCTGCGTGTGAGAGCGAGACAAGAAAAGCAGCCAAGAGGATGAGACTGGAGATCTACCAGACATCCCAGGTATGGAGTCAGGCCCGTTGACCGCTGTGGGCTTAGGAGGCAGGAGGCACCCACCGTCTCGGCCAGTAGCCTAAGAGCCTGCGCCAGCTAAAATGAGCAGGAGAAAGCTGATGAGAGAATAAAGAAGGGGGTGTAAAGAGCTGGGGTGGGAAGAAGGAGTCAAAAAGTAAGCTGTCTGAATGGGTTCCCAGGAATGAGCCATTCAGGAGCTATAAGGATGATTCCAGTGGCAGCAGGGACCAGGGCACTGGGCCATCAAATGCTGGTGGCTAGAGCATCACAACCGATTTAGTTTCTAGAGTGTGAAAGGAAAAGTAGCACCAACAGCTGCTGACATGCTGAGCAGGCCACTGGTGTCCTGTGAAGAGGAAATGCAGGCCAGGCCCACAGTGGAGAACATGGGATATGATAATAATAATAATAATGATAATAACAATAGCTCCCATTTTACAGTAGCTTACAAAGTCCCACCTTGCGCCACCCCTAGGAGATAGCCTTATCTTCATTTTACAGACAGGGGTTAGTGAAGGAAATGTTTCATAGGAACCAGAGGCTGTGAAAAGGGAAATGGGCTCCCTGCTCCTCTTCCTCTCTGACTCTGATTAAAGCCTTTGGTCCCCTCACATAGGATGAGCCGATCGCTCTTGACAAGCAGCACCCCAGGGACTCTGCAGCCATCACCCACTCGACCTACTCACTGCCAGCCTCCTCATATGCCCAGGATCCCGTCTACATCAACGGCAGCCTGAACTACAGCTACCGCAGCTATGGGGCTTTGGGCAGCAGTCTGCAGCCCCCAGCTCCCCTCCAGGCAGGAAATCACAGTAACGGTGAGGCTGGGGTGGGGGCAGCTCAAATCTGTTCTTACGATATAAACTCATAGACCGTCAGAATGGAAAGAGGCTCTAGAGATGATTCGGTCTAAATGCTTTATTTTACAGATGGGGAAACTGAGGCCCAAGGGAGGGAAAGTGATTTGTCTGGTGAAACTGGCAGAGCTGGGATTGATTCAATTCAACCAACATTTATTTAGCATCTGCTATGTGCCAGGGACTATGCTAGGGGTAGAACATCCCCTTAAGGTAGGGAGGTGGGTAGTTTTAGCATTCCATCTTCTAGCATTAACACCATTTTAGCAAATGAGCACCCTGAGCCTGAGCAAAGAGAAGTGATTTGCTTGAGGTGGCAGAGCTAGTAAGGGACAGAATCACAGATAACCCCACCTCAAGGCCAGTGCTCTTTCTGCAATTCCGTCCATGACTCAGTTGTCTGGATGACCTCATCTCAGGTTGTAACACTTGGTGGTTTCCTCTTGTCCCTCTTGTTTCTTTCCTGAGGAATAAGAGCTCCTCACTTCCCACCCCTGCTCCCGAATCCTGCTCTTAGGATCTTATTGAAAAAAAAAATTTTTTTAATTTAAAAAAAAAAAAAGGATCTTATTGGATACTCCCATCCATCACCTGAAGATGAGGCCTCGGGAAGGTAGAAACATAGCTAGACATGGTGGTAGTACATCTGAGTTACAGCTGTAGCTCTGTCATGTATTATCTGTGTGACCTTGAGTAAGTAATTTACCCCCTCTGAACCTCAACTTTCTCATCTCTTAACTATATTTACATTCTGTCCCTACTACCTAAGATTATTGTAGGGGAAAATGGTTTGTATACCCTAAAATGATAGAAATGTGAATTGGTACTGTTAGGTGAAGTAGCACAGTGGTCTCTTCTCTCCCTTCCCCTCAGCCCTAGAAGAGGCAACAGAAAAGAACCCCAGGTCAGAAGTCAGATTACCCATGTTGGAGTCCTGTTTCTCTGCCCCCAACTCTGTGTGCCTTGAGGGGATCATTCCTCTGTTCTGGACCTTGGTTTTTCCTCTAAAAAATGAAGGGGTTTGAGGGGGCTTCTGAGGTCCTTTCCAGCTCCACCATTCTGTGGTTCCATAGATTCCTTCCCTCACCCCTCTTCTAAGAACCTCCTGTTCCCAGGGGCATCCTCAAAGGTAGACTGTTCTGTGTAAGGCCTATGCTCCCTGCTACTAGATGAGAGGGAATCCAAAAACTCAAAGAAACACAGGGGAGGACAAGAGGCAAGACCCCATCATCTCTCCTCTAGTCGGCTCGCTAGGACTGCTTAGTGTTAAGCTAATGTAGAGCACCCCTAAATTCTCTTAGCCACTGGTTGAAGCAGGTGGGACAAGCCATTGTGAAATTTTCTCATCCAGTCTGGCTGCCCACCTCTGTTCTGTTTGGTTCGTTGAACATTTGTCAAGAGCCTCTTGGGTGCAAAGGTAAAAGTTATCCTCCTCCTACACTTTGGCTGGGTGCAGAGGTGACTCTGAGGCTCTGTGAGGCTGTACCGGCAGAGCATGAGCTCTGGAAGTTTCTACACTAAGGGTAGGGCCCAGCTGAGCTCAGCCAGGCTCATTACCAGATGGGTCAATGTGGGCAGTCTCCAACCTAATCAAGAGGCTGCAGCTTGGTGCTGGGTCAGTGGAGGGAGCTCCATAGCGGATGAAACTGGATTCTTGAAGAATGGGTACAGGAATAGGTTGGAGGCCCTGGGAAAGACACAGACCCCCTACCTGGCAGCCACTTGGCATAGCAAGGTAGGTACAGGGACACAAATAATAGTCATACAGTAAGTACTCTGATGGATGAATCCATCCCCAGAGATTGGAGGATGGGAAGAAGTCTGAAGCTGGAGAGCTTCCTTGAAGGAAGGGGGAAATTTTAACAGGTGTGCCTACTCTAGGGCAGTGGGGAGCTTGCTAAAGCAAGCCTGGAGGAGCTCTTCTCCCATTTGTTATAGGAGGATAACATGGAAACCTCCAGGAGAGGGTCAGGGAGCTGGACTCGTGGGAAGAGGCCGCTTCGCTCACTTCAGGTCCTGCACAGTTCCCGTGGTCCTCCTGCCTTCTTCCTTCCCAGCCTCCACTTTGGCCCAGTGGTCCCCTGGGTCCAAAGCACTCCTCTCTTGATTCATTGCAGGGGGATCAGGGAGGATATTTTGAGGGAGCCTACCCAGGTCTAATTGATCATCTCTACTCTCATGCCTCCACACTCAATTCAAACATTTATAGCTGCTTTCCTTGTGCTAGGTTACACAGTAAGGACACAAAGAAAAATGTCCTCCTCAGAGGGGCCCAAAAAGGGTCCTACCCACCCTGCCCTGACTCCCAGAGCCGTAGCACAAGGGTATTAACTGCCAATAAGCACAGCCAGTGGGGGAAATTTAAATAGGATTCCCAGTACCAGTCTGCCCTTTCCCAAGTGATCCATTTCCATTCTTGGGTTTCTATTAGGTGCTGCTGAGTCCTGTCCTGAGCATAAATCATAGGATTTAGAGTAGGAAGGGCCCTTAGACCCGAATATTAAAATGGACTGCCAAAGCTTGAAGGGTCCTTAAAGACTACATATTATAGAGGCTTTTAACCTGGGGCCCATGAACTTTGTTTCTTTAATATTTTAATAACTGCATTTCAGTATAATTGGTTTCCTTTGTAATCTGATATGCATTTAAAACATGATTCTCAGAAGGGCCCCATAGACTTTACCAGATGGCCAAAGGGGTCCAAAACACAAAAGAATTTAAGAACTCTTGACCTAGTTAAGCTTCTGTGTTTTATAGAGAAGGAAACTGAACCCTGGAGAAGTTATGTGACTTACCCAGAGTCATACAGCCTTTGAACCTTGGGCCTCTGACTCCAAATCTATTGCTATCCTGCTACATTGCACCTAACCTTAATGTACACATACTTGTCATGGAGTATAATGTCACCCATCAATGCCATGGAGCAAAAAAAACTGAATCTGGTGTTTTAGAGGAGTCCCCAGTAAGAATTACCTTACATAGCTCAACTAGAAAGAAGTAACTTGCCTGAGGTCATTCAGCCCTAAGAAATGACTTCTTCTCTGCCCCTCCATGAGGCTGAGAGGTAAGTCTGAGCTCTTGTAAATGCCCTTTAGAGATGACTTGTTCTTTCTCTCATGTTATAGGGTAGAAAGAGGTCTGGGCTAGGAGTTCAGAGGTCTGAGTCCTGCCGCCACTACTGATTCACTATGTAATGGACTGGGTAATTCACCACTCCTCTCTGGGCCTCAGCTTTACCATGTGTAAAATGAGGGAAGCCCTACCTGATCTAGGTCCCTTCTTCTGTCACTAATCTCTTTGCCTTGTTCACCCCATTCCCTTGGTCCATCTATAAGTATCCTCTGATTTCCAGCTAGTAACAGTCTTAATTCTTTTTTGAAGGGGCTCGCCTCACCCCAGGCCAAGGCATAAGGCCTGACTGGATCCAATTGCAGACTCGGATCCACTTTCCCCATCCCTGTTTGCTGCTGTGTCTCCTTACCTCTTTCCTAAGGAAATATAGGTTAGGGAATGCTGCCACTTATATGGCCTCTCCCAGACATGGTTGCTTGGCATAGTTTTGGCTTAATGAGGCTTTTCTCTGGTGATGAGCGACAGCTCCAGGACTCTAGTACCTTCTTTTGATTCATGTTTTCAGATCATTAATGAGGAGGGTGGAGGCAGCCATCACTCAAATTAGCCTTTTTCAAATGGAGTAGTAATCCTAGAAGCCATGATTGTCTTGGTGGGAGTACTCTCTTCACGGCACAGATAGCCTCCCTGTCATCTTTTGTGAGTTTCTATGGACAATAAGATCCATCCCTCCACATGGCTGTCCCTCCTCATTTGTCGGGTCTGTCCATTGGGGTCCATCACCAACCATGTCCATATTTGAATACTTCCTACCTTGATAGAACCGACCAGGGCCTAGATTCCACTGACATCCTTCCAGATTCTAAGATCATCTCCATTTCACTATGAGACATGATAAGGAGACTTCCTGGTTAACTCTCCTTATGGTTTGCAAAGCACTTTTCCTTGCAACCAGCCTGGGAAGTAGGGAATGCGGTTATCATCATCGTCCCTGTTTTACAGAAAAGGGGAGGCTCTTTCCTCATTTTTTTTCTTTGGTCACACAGGAAAGAGGCAGACCCAGAACCAGTTCTTCTTCCGTGACACTGCCGTCTCCCATTGGTCATTTTAAAAATTCTTCCTGTATAGTTTCCATTACTCAAACTATTATTATAGCAATACCACATCTTTCTTCTGAATTAGTAATGATTTCATAGAGTAATGAGGAGAGAGCCTATTTCTTTGCAAACAGTTGGAAGTAACTGAGTCAAGAGATCTAGGTCCTCGACCAGACTGACAGCCTAGATGGTATCATTTCGCTGTCTGGGTCTCAGTTTCCTCTTTTATAAAATGAGGGCAAAGGACCATCTGATCTCCTAGCTCTCTTCCAGTTCTAACATTTTGTTACTCTAATATCCCCTATGGGGAATAATAGAATAGAGTTAGAGGGTACCGTAGAAATATCCTAGTTGAATCCCCTCATTTTATGGAGGATCAAAGAAAAGAAGTGAGTTTTCTAAGATCACACACGTTGAAGGAAAAGTTGGGTATCCTCTATCTCCCATCGACTGTGCTCTCAGGGACGTCCGTTGTCTCTGCTTTACAATTTAGTGGGAGGGGATGGGGGCACGGGTTTGAGGGTAGGCAAGTATAATTGCATATGGGTCAGGGGTAGACTGGTCACTCAAGGCACCGGTTCTTCCTTTTGTACCTCGCCTCATACTTCATCAAAAAAATTAGAGCCATTCGCGTCAAGCCTCTTCTTCCCCTCCCTCCTTCTTATCCTTCATTCCCCTGCTGCCACTCCCTCTTATCTCCTCCTTCACTATAGTTTCTGAGAAGGAGGTGGCCCTCTGCCCTTGCCGAGGCCAATCCCTCTACATACATTGGTCCTATCCCCTGCCATCTTC